ATAGAACTAACATGTACACCTTTCTGGTAACTGTACTGAATGATCATAGCTAAAAGGACTGTAGATTTGAATATTCCTAACAAGTTTGGATGTTCCATTGCCTGTGCTAACTGCTGTTCCTCCTGTGTGTCAAGGCAATTGGATATAGTTGATATGCAAACATATGAGATTAGCTCAAATCTTAGCCTGTATTTGTGTTGCCAGAATAACAAACATAACCATCTGTGCACTCATTTTTCCAAAAATGTAAATTAAAATTTCAGAAAATATACCTTCATTAGATAATCTAACATATTCTTTCATGTACTCCCATTATCAAATGGATCAAAAGCCAAAAGTACAGATCAGGCATTGTGAAAAGTCCTACAAATAACTGTAAACAGCTTTCATTTCGCAAAAAAAAATTGTCAGTAAAAATCAGAGAATTTTGCAGCAGTGAAAATATATCTGGAGTCATATGATATGAAGTGTCAGTGACTTTTGAAAAATTGTTGTCTTCACAAATGCCATCAAATTATAAAATCATAAAAATTTCTAGCAGAAAAAATTAGATGGTTAACAGTGCGTTGCATAGTTACCCAGTTTCAACACTCTTCATTGACTAATGAATATAAAATGAAATTATACAAACATTATGTAACAATATTACTGCATTATTATCCAATATCTTTACCTTTTCTGAGATGCCATCAAATTTACTTAGTAGTGTATGAAGAGGTACCTGTGGAATAATATTTTGTTCTAACTCATCTTTAAAAAGAGGAGCTGGTGGGATGTCCAGCATCAGGTACAAGAATGGTGAATCAGATGTTGTATCTGTGGGATCCAGACAAATACAAAATGTTAAGCATGGTAGTGAAAACAAATGTAAACATAGACCTGCTTACAAATCTTCTTGGTTTTTGAAAAATTAAATAAAAAAACAACAACTGAAAATAGCAAATTGCAAAATAATGGAATGAAAGTGAAAAAACAAACAACTGGTATCCCTTGCATGCATCCTTACCGATGATGTCACTTTTTCTGTGACTACAAATTTAAGCCAATCAGAAACAACTGTATTTGCATAATATGCAAATGACATTTACAAGGAAGTAAACTATTGTTATTTGTTGTTTGCACTTTTGTTTTTTAACTTTTTGTGACATACTCAGATTGTATTGAGATTGCCAATAATGGATTATGCTACAAAAGTCTATAATTAATTATAATTGATTGGACCGGTCACTGGTAGCATAGTGGTTGTCACATCAGACATGATCGCTAGACCCAAGTTCAAATCCTACCATAGGCTGAACATCAAAAGGGTCGACCCCCCTACCCGGGACCCTGGGTGAGTGTGCTAGAGACTAATGGGAAGGCTAATCCTGGCCGAGTTTCATTCACTAACGAATGCGACTTTGGGGGAACCTTGGTTAAGGTCCGCAGGTGCTTGTGTTCGACCGAGCCTGGTTGACGCCAGGATAGCGCATTAAATTGCCATTTGATGGCCGATAGCCGCACATCCCTGCCATGTAGTCCCAAAAACTTCTGTGGCAAAATGACTATGTGTCAGCACTAGCACTTGCAATTTGCACATACAAAAAAAAAGTCAGGAGAGACAACTATAATTGATGGGTTTTTTTGGTGTGTTCACACATGTTCGATTGTGTTAACGTGATATGTAGTTTCAAATTCTTCACCCAAGAGATCTGTCTGTGTCAAATACTCAAAGATGGGGTAAGATCTTCTGTCAATTTATCAGTGGGCACTGTCAAATATGGAAACATCAGTGGCTTGAATGGTACTGTTTTTGTTCATGTTTAAGATTGCAAATGCTGACTGTACATTACATTTCGTTATGAAAACCATTCTATTCCAGTTTTGGGACTACACATATATGTAACAGGGATGTGTGACCATCATGTTATCATAAGGATATTGAAACACTTTAATTCTCAATCCTGGCGTCAATCAGGCTTGGTATACACAAGCACAAGCTGACCAATCCAGAGTTTCCCTCAAATCGCATATTACTGAATAATTATTCTTGGCCAGTGACGTAGACCCCCCCCCAATTGAACCGTTTGAACACTAGCCCTGGGTGCGTGGAAGTCAACCTTTTGGAGTTTAAAGCCAGATACAACTTTTAAACAGTTTATGCTTGCAATCCAACAACAGCTATGTTACCAGTGATCAGATCGGTGATGGGTTTACCTTGGTACTCTTCACTTTGTATAAGAGCCTGTTTCTCCAGGTCTTCTACATCAGCTGGAGGTAGCTTCCGGGAATAAATCCTCATACTACCTTGGAAGGTTTTATACACTATACTGCTGTTTTTTTTCTTACCACCATTTAATGCTATATGTAAAGCATTTAGAAACCATGACATGAATTCTACAGGATCACCTATGGAAAACAAGAATGACCAGAATGTGAAGTAAGCCCAGGCTCCAAACCTCATACTCAGATCAGAAATAAATTGACAATCGAGCATACATGTACACCAGTCAGGGCTCAAATTTAACAGTAGCCCAAGGCACACTAAAAATTCTTGTCCTGTCCTGGGCCTACTATCCACATTAATTAAGTACTAGGAATTCACAAAATATTAATACATGTTGTTTTAAACCAGCCTACAAACAGGATATCAGTGAGTACCCTCCAATTAGTATTTCCTAGTTTAGCCATTAAAAATACAGGGTCAGCATTTTTCATTCATATTTCATTCGTATTCCATATTGCAGAAAGGCATGGACCGATGTCTGCTGCAAAAACAGAATGAGTAGATTTTGAACTTTTATTTTTTTGGGCTAAAACTCAATATGGAAATGCCAAGGGGAATATTGCAGTGAGATAACCTCACTCATCAAAATTAATCAAATATCAAATGTGTATAGCAC